AAATACTTATTACTTTCCGAAATATTATCCGAAAAAAATTTTTTTTTATGGTTTTTTTGTTTTGTTTTAACTTTCAAAAAGGCGAAACATGTACACTTTTGAGAATATTTAATATTTTAAACTTAAATTTTTGTAATTGATAATTAAATTTTGTTCAAGGTTCTTAAATGTATCTATTTTTTCTTGAAAAAATATGAACCACAATTGAAAAAAAGCATTTGCATATGCATTCAAATGAAATACAACCCTGTGTGTATGCTGTTACAATTTGGCTCACATGCTCCCTCATGTATGTATGTATGCGGCCAATTTGTGTATGTCTGCATGTATCTACTCATATCTTACCCACAGCAGCCAGCCATAAGTCATTGCACCGTGCTGTGCCACATATCACATTTCATGCACAGCGAACAAAGCCTTTACTGTACATATCTACATATACAGTTATGTGTACATATAAGCACAGTTCTACGTACCTAGCAGTAGAGTTAAAGTAACAAAACTGAAGAATTGTGACCAAGACCGCAGCTGTGCTGCTTTGTGCGCCATAGTGTATATGTGTATATATATGTGTGTGCGTCTACATATGTCAGCGAATGCCAAGAAAAGCGCAAAAGCAACACAAATCAAGGTAAGTGATGGAAAGCAAGACAAAAGGCGCAAGAAATGGTGGGGAAAGAAATGGAAGAACTTTGAATTGCTAAAGCTTAACACATTGTTCTTGCATGTATATATGTGTGTATATGTATGTCACTTAAAGAGCAGCCAAGTGGCAGCGAACCACAATGCTTTCTAGACCGCGCCATGACTAAAACAACAAATAATATTTAAAGTGCACTTAAATGGCGCGACGCAAGCAAAGTAAAGCGTCAAGCGAGTTGTGAATTTAGCATAAAATTGTATTTAAATGCTTTTGTATATGTGTGTGTGAATGGAAAATATGCAAACTCATATTTACATATATATATATATACAACCAAAAGCAAGAAATTAAATTTGGCTTCACCGAAGCTATAATACCCTTCAGATTTTTTTAAGCTTAAAGGATATAAAATTTTGATCGACAAGTTTGTATGGCAGCTATATATATGTTTAGTGATCCGATATAAACAATATGCTTGGACAATAATTTATACCGAATTTGGCGAAGATATAATATTATATATTGCAAAATAGAAGAACTTTTCTATATAAGAACTTCATTTTGAACGGTCAGTTTGTATGGCAGCTATATGCTATAGTGATACGATCTGAATAATATGTTCTCATATTGTAACATTGTCTTGCACAATAATCTATGCTGATTTTGGTGAAGATACATTGAAATGAATAGAAAAGTTTTCCATACAAGGACTTGATTTTGAAAGGTCACTTTGTATAACAAATATATGCTATACTGATCTGATACCATCAATTCCGTCAAATAAGCAGCTCCTTGGTGAGTAAGGGACCTATACCTATTAAAGGCTTAAAATTTTCTGTATGTGTGAGTGTATGTGCTAAGCAGTCATTTTACCATACATATGTGTATATTCTATATATGTATATGCATTGGTATGTATATGTATGCATGCGTCTGTGTTCTCCTCAGCACTCAAGCGTCTTTTGGAGTGCACTCAAGTGCATATAGCCGCCGTAGTCGCTTGGGTTAGCGACAAAATAGCAGACAAGTGGAAGCAGACGGTACAGACATGCATTTCCATAATACTTAACACAACACATGCGTTTATATATTATATGTACATATATATATATACAATTTTTGTATATTTTAAAGTGTGTCAACTGACTGTTAGCGAGCGCGCGGCGTATGAAAGACTCAATTTGAGACGTATAAAAATGTGTAAAATGCGAGCGCTTAGCTGTAGCATAGTTTTAGGCGCATTAAAAAACACATGTATGCATATAACGGTAAATATTAGAAAAATGCAATACTAGTTTATGCAGTCGCATACTTTGTATTTTTATATACATACATATTCATATATACATACATATGTTTATATAGCAGCTACAGCCTTACGCCAGTCATGCTGACAACTGAAATTAATACGCGCGCTGCAGTTGCTCGCAGAAATAAAAATAAAAATAAAATTCTAGTCTCGCGCCAACTTTTCCGGTTAGCTAGCTTTATACACTTATTACTTGTTCACAGTATGCGGGTCTACAGTTATAGCGTTTAATTTTTATTTCATTCGTGTGTTGTATAGCGTAAAATTTTAAACAAAAGTTTACAGTTACAATTTTTCGTTGTTGTTTTCTTATTTTTTTGCGAAATAATACTCGCTGAAATAACGGCAAAACCGCTACTTGCGTATTTTTCGAAATGAGTGCATGCAGACCGCATTGAAAATGTGCCTACGCATGAAGTAACATAGAATTTTTTCAAAAAAAATTTTTTTTTGTGGTCAAGTTATGTATTTTTGGGAACTTTTAAGTTTAAACCCATTAAGCACCAAAGCAATTAGTGCTAACTTTTTGTTCAGATTACAAGTTAAATTTATAATTTTTTGTAATGAAATTTACTGAAAAAAAATTCAGAATAAATTTTATTTTGCAAAAATTTGTTTGTGGATTCTTCAAATATATTTTTACATTTTGGTATATTTCATAAACAATTTTTTGTATAAGATAAGTCGCTTTTAACTGAATTATTACTATACTGAAGTTTCTTACTTTTCTAAAATGGTGCTACGTCAGTTTCTAATCTTTAGTGAAGTTGAAAATTGTATGTGTCTGAACATCAATTGCTTCCAGGTTTCTCATCATTATGTGTACTATCAGGAAACGAACGAAGGGAGCTGTTACTGTAAGGAGTAGCACACCCTTCACACCAGTTTAGTTCTCTTAACATTTTTAGACCAACTCCTTGAAAAAATCAAATATTTGTGTTTTATATCTTCAGTCTCTTAGCATACTCTCTTTTAACCTTAAGCCCGTCAAGTAAAATTATTAAAGTCAATAAGAAAATAACTATTATACAAAAGCAAAAGTAAAATGTTGCCTACAATTAAGCGCATTCTTTAATGTATCACCAATATTTTAGCGAAGTCGCACACCTAAAATGCTTGCATTACCATGATTACACATATATAGTTGCGATTATACTATCTACAACTCAAATTAAGCCTAGCGACTCAACTTCGACAGTTCGAGTGGTTATTTGAGTGGTATGTACAAACTTATTTTAAGTGGTATTAGCAAGTTTAGTTCCCATCATTTTATTGTAACTATGTATACCCTTTACAGGGTATATTAAGTTTGCCACAAAGTTTGTAACACCCAGGAGAAAACGTCGGATACCCTAAAAAATATATATGTAAATGATCAGCGCGACGAGCTGAGTTGATTTAGCCATGTCCGTCTGTCTGATTGTCTGTATATACGTGAACTAGTCCCTCAGTTTTTGAAATATCGAACTGAAATTTTGCACCCGTCTTTTTCTCTCTACGAAGCTGCTTATTTGTCGAAACCGGCGATATTGGGCTACTATAGCAAATAGCTACCATACAAACTGAACGATCGGAATCAAATTCTTTAAAGAAAAACTTTTGTATAAGAAATCTTCACGAAATTTGGCATGGGTTATTGACTAAAGTAAAGGTCGAATCTCTGAAAAAATTGTTCACTGTAGCATATAGCTGCCATACATACTGACCGATTACAATCATGTCCTTGTATGGAAAACTCTTCTATTTAAAGAGATATTTTCCTTAATTTTATTATGGAATATTGTCCATGACAACGGTGCAATTTCCGAAGAAACTGTTTAGATCGGATCACTACATCATATAGCTGCCATACATACTGACCGTCAAGTTCTTGTATGGAATCTTTTATATTTGTGAACGGTATTATAGCTTATTTTATATTTAATGGTATTTATTTAGTATTCAAACTGGACATAAAATCCATTTTAACTTTCATTATTAATTTTTATATTAGTTTTTAGTATAGTTTATATTTTTCCATTATTTAATTTAATATTATTACTTTTTTTTGTTTAAATTTCTTCGCTTAATTTTTTTAAATTTAATTTCAAATATATAAGCTTTGAACACAAAAAGTAAAAAAAAGTTAAATTTTTTTATTTTAGCCTATTATTACTTTTTTTTAATTATTTTTATTGTTGCTTATATGTATAATATAAAAAGTATTTAATTGAAAATATATTTTTAATGTCAGTTTTACTTTATAATTTCCTAATATTATTATTTAAAATTTTATTTATTTTTAATTTTTTTTTGTCTATTCCCATTTATCATTTTTTTTACAGTAATTTTATAGCTTTTGTCTATATTTTTTTAACTCTCAATTTCATTGTAATTAACATTAAAAAATATAAATTTTTAATACCACAAAATAATGTCAATTTTATATATGTATTTTCTATACAAAAATATTTTAAATTTTTTGGCTCAAGTTATCTTATTTTAACTCTTTATTATTATCAAAACATAAATACCGCACATTTTATTTTAAAAAGAATTTGGCTTTAAATAAATTTAAAAATTTCTAACATATTAACTTCTCGAAAAAATTAAAAACCTTTTTAATACGCGAAAAAATGCAAAGCATTTTTACTTCAGGAAAAAATTAAATATTTAAAGTTCTCAACACAAGAAATTCACACTCACCGCTTTTGCTGCTTTAAAATTCGCATTGTCATGCAGAACATATACGCAACCATGCCAGCTGTAACACTTTCGCAAACAAAGAGAAAACGAAAGATTTAAAAATAAAAAATGCAAACGTCACCCGTGGGAAGCGTGCTGCAGCAGCAAATCATAACGGCACACCGCAATGACGTACCACGGTGTCTGCTGCAATGGGACACCGTTGCTCTGCAGCACACAGAAACAAAAAAATTACAACGAAACCGTTACATGCACCAACACAAACAAAGCATGCCTAAAAGCCAGCTACTATAAAACAAAATATGTGTTTGCAGCATATTTCAAGGCGCAAAAACATAAATTTTTAATTACGCAAACACTTACGTGTATGTAACGTTAATGTGCGTACGTATGTGAGTGTGAAAACATTTATTTTTTATTTTTGCTTTATGAGTGCCGAAATTACACCGTTATTTTTAGCTTTCACTTTTTGCATTATTATTCTTGTTTATTGTTGTTGTTCCTACATTCGTTCACTACTTTCATTAATTTATGATACATTCTCTACTACACCACTTTCGCGTCACTACGCTTTCGCTACCGTTGCGCCATTGGTCTGCGCCGTACATGCACCGTTAAATCACCGACCCGAACTGATGACTGCTTGGCCAAAGCAAATATTGGCTACACTACTGCACCAGTGGTGAAATACAGCAGCTGCTTTTGGTATATGGAATTGTAGCGTTTACATATATACCTAACTTTACCGTTAGCTTAGCCATTATGCTTATGTTAAATGTTGAATTTTTTCCGTCGCGCTGTTACGATTATTACGCGCGCCGCTAACGAGGTGCCGATAACAGCTAAACGTTTATCTTTGTACAAGAAAGAAATTAAGTAAAGTGAGTGTTGTTGTGTGGTGAGTTTACAAAGCAGCAAGTTTTTTGTGCTATTTCCCCACAATTGTATTGGTTGAACTCTCGTACTGTAATGTCACAGGGAGTGCTCTTACTTCCAGTATTTGGACACCACTGTACATTGTTTCTTATATTGCGGAGTTAGCGCTCTTTTTCTCTTTTATTTATGCTCTCTTATATTTATTTTGTTTCATTAACATGTAAATTTTACAACCCTAGAATACCTTTGTACTTCTATTGAAAGGTAAATGTTATAATCAGCTTGTTTATATAATATATGTCTTGCTTTCTAGTCTTCTAACATGTCTCTGTTCTGTACTTTCACTGTGTCATATTCACTTTGCCTAGTTAACATATATATTTTATAACTTAAGCACACCTTTAGGCATTCGTTTTACGTAAAATTCTATAACCACTATCATGTTAGTATTTCTCTTTCTTCTAGCATTCTTTCTCGTCCTTTCAAATGGCTGTGTTCTGCACTCTCGCTCTTTCAAAATTATTATGTCTCGCTAAACTTACAGCCTTACAACTTTAGCATACTTTTAGCAGCTGATTTCTATACTTGCCAGCTTTCTTGGCGTCTACGACAACAATGAACTACCCCTTATGCAATACTAAAATACTTCCCCGCTCTGGTGAATACAAATGCGGTGAAACTTTGCATATATCTCTTTTTCTTTTTACTTTTGTGACATTTCATATGACTTTTGTTGACTTTCAGAAAAATATTATTTAAATTATGGGTTCCAAATAAATTGTGATTAAAGTTTTAGCATGCTTTTAGGGTCCAAGGCTACTGTTGAAGCACAAAACTATACTAAGCACATGGTCGGAATGAATACTAAAGGTATGCAAATATTTGTATACAAAATGTTTATAATTCTATATAGTTTCAGTATTCGAATGATATTTCTGGTCAGGTTGTTACAAATGTGGTCTTCTATAACCATTTTCGGAATCAGTAGTCGCTGAATATCTGTTTTGTTTGTTTTATCTGCATTCAGCTGCTATTTCAAGGCACTAAAAAAGCAATTACTTATTTAATATATAATTTAAGCACCACATTTTGCTTTCAACAAAGTCTATTTCAGGCTGGTCCTCACCTGTGTCCCCTGCTTTATTTCCAACCTTGTTTATTTTTAATTATTTTCTTTATTTCTTAAGATTTCACCACCGCACTCGTTATGTTTTTGTCTATGGTGTATACTCCACAAATAAAGATAACATTATTTGTTCCCTTAAATATTCATAACCTTGCCGACGAAAACTTAGCTCATATATAGCGTGACAAATTTTATCTAAAATTGGCGGTAATAGCTTTTCAAATCTCCAAGACCGAAAATTAAAACCTCTGTGTCTAAGACTAACTTAATACTGAGGATTAAGTGAGAACCGGTGATTTATTTCCAAACGTATATAAATTCAGTCCAACCCTTAACTCAACCCAAATATACCTAATGTAATTATTTTTGAACTATGATGAACATGACCCTGTAGCATTAAAATCGGTCTATACCTTGGTCTAGCCCCTATATACCAATTTAATGATGTACAAGTATATCCCTTTAGTTGACTTTGTGTCGAATATATACCTAGCTTAATCTAACAGTTATTTTAACGTATTTGCGTGAAGATGTTATTCAGACATAATTTGGTATGTGGTAGCTAAAAATTGAGGCAATCGGCTTATACGTTTCCTTAATCCTTATATACCCAATAAAATTTTTCGAACAACTGGCCTTTGATTAACGTTCTCTTTTAATAGCTTAAACCTTCCCCTGAACACGGTATATTTGGTTCTCTACGAAATTTGACATACTTGTAGATTATAGTCCAAGGCATCGCCAAAATATACGAATATATTCTTCAGATCGAACTACTATAGCATACAGCCGTCGCACAAGCTGACCGATCCAAATTAAGTTCTAAAGTAGTATAAGCAAGTAAGTAAATAATTATTAGCCGAAGTTATCTTTTTTCTTGCTTTTTATTCGATTTACTACTTTTACGCATTTATCCTTTTAATTTTTAAAGTTCAAATAAGCCACATAGTCCTGGTAAACGTAAAGGTCACTTTAAAAATTATAAAACAAACAAGCAAAATCTGAATTTTGCACATAGAACTGCAGCAATCTCATTACGTGTACACCGCATATTATGTTGAATAGTTGTTAAGCCACCAAAAACGTGCCCGCACACATACACGCGCGAATTTGCCAAATTTTATAAAATTACATGGCACTTATACGCACACTACGCACTGTTGGCCCTCCAAAGAGCGTACATTTCAAATTCAATTTCACTTAAGTGAATTGTGCACACATACTTAGAGCGGCATGAGCGCGTAGCCACTGCTAAATTGCGGCAAAAAGGTAGTGGAAAACCCTAAACAAAAGCAACAACAACTGCAGTAAAAAGCAAAAACAACCAGGATAGCAATTTGACGCAGTCAATGTGATGAGGCTCATTTCGAAAGCCAAATGACATGACAACAACAAATTTTATTTTTCTTATCGTGTTGTTGCTTTTACTATTTTTGTTGTTGTTAAAGCCTGTATACGCTGTCGCTATGAGTTCGTGGCGAAGTTGAGCTTTTTGCCATACGCAAATGTAAATTAAAATGTTTGCGATTTACCACAACGCCTAAAATCCAGCAACGACTTATCATCAGTGGCGTGTTGATGTGTGTGTGTGTGAGTGTGTATGTATGTATACTAAATTCAATGCGCGCATTACGCGTTCATTTGCGCACATTTTGCAAATCATTTGCGCTATGCAATCCAAAACAAACCCATATGGCCAACCAGTGAATAGTTTCGTTCGCCGAAAATGTCGAAATTTCAGCTCTCGTCATTTGTTTGGCCAGCAGTTTATGTTGAGCGCGCTTTAGCGGTTATTTGTTGGCCACCTTAAGCCATTCCCGCTAAGCGTGGAAGGTTCACACCTGTCGCCAGTCAGCAATTGAGGCTCACCATTCAGTATTTGGCATTGGCTTAGCGCGAATTCAGTGTAGACTCTGCAGACTAGCAGATAATCTACTGCGTTTGCACACTACAGCAACTTTGCAGGCATTATGGTCAAACGTTAAGCGAAAACCAAAAACCAACATTTCAATTACTCACAGTTGTGGTCATTACTGTACTATCTTGTTCTTATCCCTGTAATGAAGCTCTACGCAAAATAGAAGTTAATATTTCGATTGGTTGTTGTATATTTTCAGGTTATTGGTCAATATTAATATTAATATGTTTTGTATAGCCCACTTTTAGGCTGCATAATAATGAGAGAACTCTGAAGACACACTGAATTTCGTCCAGTGGTTATGAAAGCCCAGCATTTATTTTGCATAATTTTTGGCGATTTGGCATTGCGAGACCAGATAAAAATCAAAATTCGAATGTTGTATAGAGCATGATAGGAAACTGAATCTAGGCTCTAATGCCTACTGCCTAACGAAGTTTCATCTAACCAGAAAATGACTAAGTTAGTAGCTTCAGAGAATTCAATAACATAAAACCAACTACGACTTGACTTGCCTAAATATTCATTGCATCTGAGATTCAGTCATTTTTCGGCCTCCAATTCATCCATGAAAATGCTCACCTTAACAGGACAAGCTCCTACGTCACCTAAGAAAGCTTCAGAAAGTTCTTAAAGGGGTCTTAACAGTCTAAGCAAAAATGGATTCCCTGGAGAATATATATTTGCAAAAAGTTTTCCATGATCCCACCTGCGCTTTTTCCAAACCTCCGGTTGACTCTCAGGCATATAGCACGGCACTAAATTATTCTTAATTGTGATTAGTTATAATAAAATATCCCTTTTTCGACTGAAACATTTTTTTGCTGTTTTTTTCCAGAAAGTAGACATCCTAAAGGCCTCCAACCTGAAGATTTAAATTTACAGGTAAGGGTTTTCCATTTTCGAGTAGATACTTAGTGAAAATTTTGTCCAACAACTTTGTAAAAGGCTGCATAATAAAAACTGAGCTACACACATACTTTTCACATACTTTTAGTAGTCTGAACTAGGAGAAAAATTACAGAATCAAAGCTTAATACCACAGCTCTGGTAAATACAAGTGCCTGAGGTTGAAATTTGTGGACACAATGCTTCCGGCGCTCTCCTTATACTTACGTTCGATTCAAAAATAAAATTTTACAGTTTTTTATTAAAGCTAAAAAGCTTGCTACGAATACAAAAAAAAACTCTCATCAACATAAATCTAAATTTGCCTACTAGTAACACACAAAATTGCCTAAAGCGAAAAAATGTGTTAAAATTAAACCGCAATTTAAACCAATTTACAAACATAACAAATTTCCGCTTCCGCATATCAGCCTCATCTTGCCTGTAAGCCTAAAAGCATGCAACTCACATACACATTTGAACTCATGAAACATATTTAAAAGGCAATTAAGCTGTAACTGAGGTCACAACAGTGTTAATTAAAAATATGTGTACGCACATAATCAAAAATATTTGCGAATCGAGCGTGAAACAAAAGAAATGAAAAACTGTAATTAAAAAAGTAACTGTACACTAACAAAAATTTTGTGTGTGCATGTTTTCGGGCGTTAATGTCAAACCTTTTTTCAGCTAACCGAAAAAAGTTACCAACTAAAAATGCTAGCTCCAAATAGGTTTTACAAAACCACAACAGCTGCTTTTAGGCGTTAATTTTCTCGCATATTTGTGAGATAATATAAGTTTAATGAAAAATGTTGCCTAAATGTAGGCGTACGTTGACAAAATAGACTACTTACAGGCGCACAAATTGGAAAAATTATTGCCTACATTTAGGCGCAAATATGTTGTTAAGCAACTAAATAATTGAGTTGAAACTTTAGAAGGCGCACCCAAAACTGTAAAATAAAATATGTCTAAATTAATTTTGCGCGATAGCAACTATTTGGAATAAA